CGAATTACTATTATGACCTTTTCCTCCTTAAAGACAAACAAACAGACAAAAATAATCGCTGGAGACAGCTTGAATGGGTAATGAAGAAAAACTTTAATATAAGTTCAACATAACCGCAAATCTACAACGTTTTGACAAGGTTTCATCAGGTACCAAAACCTTGTCGAAACGTTGTACATTTGCTGTTATGTTAAACTTATATTAAAGTTTTTCTTCATTACCCATTCAAGCTGTCTCCAGCGATTATTTTTGTCTGTTTGTTTGTCTTTAAGGAGGAAAAGGTCATAATAGTAATTCGTAAAGTTAATATATCAATAAATATTTATCTTTTTTATTCTAAAGATTCTCAAAATAGATGTTGTCAGATTAGGCTTAGCGCCTTTAAAATGTCAGAAAATTAGGTTTCCATAGCATGTATAGAGTGATTGTCAAAGCATTGCTTAATTAGTTCCAGATATCTTGGTTTTATGAAGTAATAAAGTAAATGTCTGGTAAGCAACACATCAGTGACAGAGGCAGTGTTCTGAATGTGTATAATTTCAGAAGATTTGTACAATTTCTTTTGTTATTTTTAACAATTAAACTTTGTAAATCCTTGTCACCTAACGTAAAAACTTTGGATTTAATTGATGATACTATTCTCATTTAACAACAAAATATTTTACAAAGAAAGTTAAGTCTGTGTTATACATTACCACATCTAACTTGAAAAATATAATAGTATATTAGAGTTTGATCAATATATCTCCATTATTTCAAACAGTTGGTTACTTCATTTTTACTTTCTCACTTATACTTAGTACTAAGAGTTGGATTTGAGTATTTAAGATACTTTTGTCAGATAAGATACCTGAGGAAGGTTAAGTCAAAATTAGTGAAAATGCAATGTTTCCAGGATTTGAAACTAAGTAAGTATAATGTAAATTGGATTTTTTAGAAATTATTAGAAATCTTGAATCAGAGTTTAGTTAAATTAGCTTTCTTCTGAAAGATTGTATTGGAAAAATATAAATGGCTTCCCTCAGGAAAGGCTTTGCATGGCCACAATCTGCAGGTCGCGGGATCCAAATTCCTGTCCCACCAAACATGCTTGCCCTTTCAGCTGTGGTGGCATTATAATGTAATGGTCAATCTCACTATTGTTTGGTAAAGTGGGTGGTGTTTACTAGCTGCTTTCCCTCTAGTCTTTCACTGGTAGATTAGGGGCAGCCAGCACAGATAGCCCTTGTGTGGCTTTGCACAAAATTCAAAACATACAAGTCCCTCAGGAAATGGACTGGTGAACAAGGGTAGGAAGGGATAATCATATGCAAGGAAAACGACAAACAACTTACGTCTTTTTGAGTGTCTTAAATGATAACTTGTGTTGTAATGCATGACACTTAAAGATCCTTGAAAAAAAAGAATAAAACTGAACAATGGGTAGAATAAAAAAACGTTTATCTGAAGTTATATGTCATCTTTCTTGAACTTTGGAAAGTAATAAAAAGATGGTAATCAGTTGTGCCATATTGATCTAAAAATATGAATATAGTTACCAAACAGATATTGACTGTTTATTATAATGGGAGTTGTTTAGATGCTTCATAGTGAACTTGTACAGCCACATGTAACTATGAGAGTTAATTACTATTCTGCTCATCAAGTCAACTTATCTTGCCACTTACATCCTGGTTTATGAATTTTTATAGTGAATTTAATTCAAGGTGATATGTTTGAAATAATAATAATAATCTGTATATTAGTAATTTAGCCCAATTTATAGTAAAGAAAAAAAAAAAATTTCAGAAGAAGCAGGAAAGCTGAATTTTGTTGATTGAAAGCTGGCCTCAATCCATAACAAATCCATAACTGCTAATCATCTTTAACTCTAGCAATGGATTTGTGATGGGGAAACTGAAGTGTGATAATGAAGATGAAGATGGTTGATAAAACACAAAACATTTTATTTACAACTATATGTATAAATATATGTCTAATGATTGTAAAGTCACATACATTGGCAAAAGAATATGCCATTTAAAAAAGTAGAGTCTGGGGATATTTAGAAGTATGTAACAGAACCAACCATTCACTACTTAAACCCAGCCACTCATTCATTTGTTCACATGCTGAAACCACTGGTCACACTATTTCATTTAACGATTTCTCTATCATTACTACAGGATCTTCGTACCTTGAACTCTACATTAAAGAAAGTTTACTCATAGCTAAAGACTGCCTGACTCTAAATGACTCGCAAAGCTCTTTAAAAAAAAACTTCTAATTGTTCTAAATTTTCACACTTAAACTTGGCTGTTGTGTAATATATATATATAATCATTGTTTTATCTGTACATTTATGATTTCTCTTAATAACTAAGTAACTAGTGATTATAATATTATATTATAATTTTAGTTGATAATTATCTTTTTTTGTCATGATTTTCAGATTTTGCTGAAGATGGATTTAGTATATTCCAAAACGTTTGAACCTTTCAAATAAAATGTTTGGTGTTTTATCAACCATCTTCATTTTCATTATTAGACTTTAGTTTCCCTATCTTCAACTCTACTAAGAGTACCAACAGAATTTGTATTAATAGTAACACTTCATTCTGTTATTACGTGTTGAGTGATGCTGAAATAATTTCCAAATTTTATTGAGGTCTGTTGTTTTATACAAGGGAACATCCATCTAGTGGTGGTTTCATTGTTTCTCATGATAACTTAAAAAACAAGTGATCAGAAAATGGGATAGTTGGTTTCCTTACAGAAGACTTGTTGATAACATATTTTCTGTATTTGGTTGCACAAGCATATTGATAAATGTTTGCAGCATTTGATGAAAAGCCCCCCAGTGGCACAGCGGTACGTCTGCGGATTTACAACGCTAGAAACCAGGTTTCGATACCTGTGGTGGGCAGAGCACAGATAGCCCTTGTGAGCTTTGTGCATAATTAAAATAAACAATAAACAAACTTTTGATGTTAAACGTTCATATAGAAAATCTGTAGCTGAACATGATTATGTATCAAAATTGTATTTTTTAGATATATAAATACATAACCAATATGCTCTTTCTTAAAGGAAGTGTATATCAAAAACTATAATTTTGTAGGCTGTATGTTCAGTATGATATCTTTCACCCTACATTACTTGGAATTAACATGGTAAACTGTACTTAAGAGTAGAAGTAATAAGTATTTTCAAAGATTATTAATTTAACTTAAATTTTATTGGTACGATAATTTTTGAGGCAAGTGACTATTCCTAAGAGTAAAACATGTGATATTACATCACGGTAAGACTGACCTTGTAGTATGCAGCTCCTGACATAGCAATTTACTAAATACTAGATCTAATAGTGAGTTGTTGGTTTGGTACTAAAATTTGTAAAAAAAGGTCATTTTGATGAATAATCATGTTCATCTATACCTATGCTACTTCCTATTTAACATTTTACACAATATCAGATCTAATTAATGAATTATTGGTTACAAATACATAGTCTTAGTTGAAATGATACAACATATCTTGTTGATTTTTCATAATAGTTTACTATTCAAATAAAACAGGAGAATGTTATCAGTATGTTGAGAAAAATTCAGTATTTTCAAATTTAATGTGTTTTAAAACGTTTATTTAGAATAAGAAATATGGTTAATTGTAAGTATGTGGTTCCTAAAACAAGTAGTATGTTACTGACAAATTCAACATTTTCTTTGCTGTTTAACTAAATAAGTTGGATGCACTTCTACATGTTTGTTCACTTACTTAAAAGCATTTAGAGGTACACCACTGATTTTCCGGCACCCTTGGTTCCAGAGCCTTGCTGGATTATCCATTTTGCTGGACCAACAGAGGTCATGAAATAATAATTCAACAATACACCTCTGACCCACGAATTATACCCCTCTTGTGTCTAAAGCACCATGGACTGCTAGAAACTGAAATAAAACAAATATTAAATATGAATTAAATGATTAATGAAATACATTAGTACAAAATTATAAATGATACAGGTTTATTAGTACAGTATAAATGAAAAAGGTTTATTAATTACTGTACTTACAAAGAATGTTGCAATACTACTGCTTCCAAAGTGGCAAACTGTAGAATTTTACTGGATTTGTAGAGCTAATCAGAAAGGTCTGGAAGTTGAGGGCTGTCAGGATTACGTCATTTTCATCATGGATTTGTGATGTTACAGGGGGAACACTCGGGGTACTTGAAGTTGAAGCCACAAAATTATCAGATGTAGGCCTACTGCTCTGACACATTCTTCTTGGCTATGTTTTTAAACATTTCATCCAAGCGAAGTTGTTTTATGTGTCTTGATCTTTCCCTGTGTAATTTTTCATACAGCAAATGAAGAGTCAGCTCTTGTTCCGTCATGAAGGTGCATTGTTCTAGCCCACTGATTAATTCACCCGTCAACTCAATTAAAGAGTGACTACTTAAAATGTAAGTAGCCCATCCCAAAAGATCACATGCAATGCCATCTGTGGCCACCCAATGAACTAGTCTGGCGGTTGTGGGAATTTCAAGTGCACTCTCATAATTTTGTCCAGATTAAAGGAGGTGCTGGACCATCAGTTGCCAGAAAATGGGTAGTGTACTGTATAAATAAAATCTGAAAGTTTTGCTAGCATTGCTGAACACATGGTAGCAGTGTGACTGAAGACAACTTTAGTGTTGTTAGTAGAGCTGATAATGATGAAGAATAGTTACAGGTTTGAGAGTGTCTGGTAATTTCAGTACCGAGGCTGACTTTGAACAAATAAAATTTAGCTGTCTGTTTCCTTTCATCATGAAAGCTTGCTGCTTTTATATTATCAATATGCATATGCAAACACACACACACACATACAGTTATATGTATATGTGTGTGTGTAACATTATTCTCCTTTTTTACAAGATGAGCAATTACGTAGTAAAACTTTTTGAAACATTTGTTTGAAGATCTTTGTCAAACTTGTGACTGTACTTTAATTCTTTACTTCTAATTAATTTTGAAGAAACCATCCATAAAGTGTTAAATGCTTAATTGAAAAGTTTCATTATATTTTATATAGCAATGTCTGATCAAATTGTTTTGCTTTATTTCCCAGGTTACATATATGTGTATGAAATGCCTTGGTTGTTTAATGGTATGTTTACTTTTGTTTTTCATATGTATGCTTAGCTTATTTGTAACTGTAGTTGTAGTTCCTCAAATTCACTTAATCATATGAATTACTCAACCACTTTAATTTCCAAATGATAAACCTTGTAGTTGCTCTAGATAGTTAAGTTATGGCTAGGTCATTTTTTACATATTTTTATTTTTTTCACTATAGACCTCTTGTATTTGTTTGTGATTGACAATGTAGTCTTAGGTTGGGGTTAAATATTTTGCTTAAACTTGGATGTACTTTTACTAATTTATTTTGCATTACATTGCATGTACTAAGCACTGTTGTGTATCTATAAGTATTAGGTCATCAAGAAATTAATGTCGCGTTTTGGAACATTTTCATTAACCACCCCAAAAAAACGTACATCACGTATAACAGTTAAACAAACTGCCTAAATGTCACGTTAGTGTAGCCTATATAATGTGTAAAGTGTGGTATACTCTAATCCCTTATAGTGATGGTACACAACGAGAAACACAATTGACATGTAATGCCGTTTGAATACAAGAAGGGAAACAACTCCTCTGTAGCCACGAAGAATATCAGAGAAGTTTATGGAAATGTTTTGAACAATCGTAAGTGTCAATGATGGTTCAGCAAATTTCGTTCAGGTGACTTTAGCCTTAAAAACTGTGATGGCAGGGGCCAAAATTTTGGATTTGATATTGACGCTCTGAAGATTTGTTGAGTCTAACCCAAGGCAACACACTCATGAAATGGCCCTGAAATTACATGTCTTTCATGAAACAATACATAAACATCTAAGGAATATGGGAAAACTCCATAAAAATTTGGGTGCCTCACAAACTCTTCAATGATCATTGTTTCCAACGTGTGAACGTTGCTTCATTTCTTCTGGTGCATAATGCGCTTGAACCATTTTTGGACAGAATTATCACTGGTGATGAAAAATGGATTCTCTATGCAAATATTAAACACCAAAAACAATGGGTCAGTCCTAGACAAAAACCACTTCCGACCCCAAAACTTGGACTCCATCTGCAGAAAGTGATGATTTGCATTTGGTGGGACATTAAAGGAGTAACTCCTCAATCCACAGTGAACTATCAATGGAGAGATCCATAATCAGAAATGCTCTTCACTCGTCAATCGGAAAGGTGTTCTTCTTCTCCACGACAATGCACGTCCACATGTGGCATGTTTGATGCAACAGAAGATTATGGAGTTGGGTTGGGAAGTTCTCCTCCAACTGCCATATTCTCCAGATATGGCACCATCATTTTACCATCTTTTTCGTTTGCTGCAACACCATCTTAATGGAAAAACGTAAGCAAATATGGAAGATATTAAAGAGGACATCAATATGTTTTTT